GAGAACACCGACCATGCAGTAGACGCCCGGTCATCGGACAAAACAAAAGAGAAGCACACTTTCACAGTGCCTTCTGGAAATTCCAATGGCTCAACCTATGACCTTTCAATGGTCATTCTAATATAATTGGAAACCACTTTGTTTGATGGCCACATTGCCAAATAGTTGATGTGTATGCCACCGGCCCATTCCCTGCATCTACCCCTTGCACGCTTGGTCTCACGCCAGGTCTTTCGATTGGTCCCGATGCCTGGGCCTGGGCGGAAGGTCGTCCGGCGGATTGGCAAGTGCGCGCGCAACTCTTTGAAGGGGCCGGCAGAATCTTCCCACAAACAAGGCCACCTTGGCTCGCTTACTTTCAGGGGTGCTTCAAGAGATGGGCTAGTTGACAACGGTGTCTTCTATTGAACTTTAATGCATGCAGTCATGGAGATGGGCCCTCTGAAAGACAGCTTTTCATTGCTGAATGATTCATCTTCAAACAAATGGAATGTGTTTTTTCTTTTGTTTATTCATGATCCGTTTATTCAGTCAATTGAACCGAACACGAATGATCAACTATTCGCTCTTTGCTTGTGCCATCGCAAAGGATCGAGGGGCCATCTTGCGCAGGTCTCAAAATAGCTTGTTCAGAAACTCATGCTGCATTGCAAGCCGAAAATACGCACTCAACCAATACAGGGTTGCTTCACCATGGGACCACTCTACAGAAGCTTTTGACTAGAACATCACCGATCGCCATGGTGACGGGGAGGGACAACATCGGGATGGTGGTGAAGCGCCTGGCTTGCATGGGAGCTCCAAAGGCTGCCTAGCTGAGCTCAAGGTCTTTGTAGTCAAGTTGCTACCATGTGCTTTCCATGCATGCAGCAATAGAACAACAAAAGCAATAAAAACCAAATTCAGACTTAACTGAATTGAGGCTTTCATTATGTTGGTCATCCTCACCGCTTTCTCGGCCAACCTTCCGCGATTTCCGGAGCCCGCAAACATGCGCATCGATCTAAGTTAATATAACTGCTGTGCTATAAGAGTGGACCTGTGTTGCATCCTTGTTACAGTCCCTGTTCCATCCACCCACCCACCCACCCACCTGCCAAGAAAAGATCCGAGCCCACTCCAGGAGCTGACGTTCCTGGAGTTCTTCGCAGGAGAGGGAAATGTTTGGAAAGCCGTTAGGGCAGATTCCAAGAATGCTGTTGGCATCGACTGGAACTACTTTGACAATCCTGATGGCCAAAACCCCATGGACATCCTCTCCAACGCAGGATTGGGGTTACACACCTGATGAAATAAGAATGTTTGTGCATGTCAGGGTCAGGCCAAAACTGCGAATGAAAGTAATGGTGAACTCTGCAGTCTTGATTTCATCCAATCTCTGCAAAACCCTCGGCTAAGGTTATACATTCATTTGATTCTTTCCTGCAGAGAGTCGGCCTTTGCGACGGTGTGGGGAACAGTCTGCAGTAGCTGGGTGAGGATCAACGCGTTCACCTCATGCCGAAGCCTCCTTAACCCAGAGGGTGATTGCAGCAAACGCTATATATCCCTCGCCAACGCTATGGTATCACGGATCCTTTGTTGCGCACAAAAAGTTCTTCGTTCGGAACCTCCCTACTCATAAAATGGAATCTCATGTATTTTATATAGGGCAATACCATGGGGTATTGACAAGTACCTTTCAAAACCGAGGTGTGTGCTCCTCCTGTGTTTGACGGTGTGCTGTGGCGGGACATACCTTGTGGAGCAGCCAAGCTCCAGCATTATGATTGAATACTGCAGGATGCAGTGGCTCACCAGCGTGACCAAAGCAGCGTGGCAAATACCACAAACAAATAGGATTTCGTGCGGGATTATCTTTCCTGAGACGGTGTTTGTCGGATGGTCACGGGACTTTAAGATTCCAATGGTCACCCATTGTCAGTCCTCATGTCCAGCCTGGCAATTTTCCACTTCGTTTCAGTTTTAGAGCTGGGTGAATTTCCTTTAGATTTCTAAACAATGGCATGGGTCCCCAGGTGAACCTAAAGTTGAAAATTACCAGTCAAGCCTTTACACGGAAAGGACACGAGAGCCAAAAAACATTTGGACAGTTTTTCGTATCCTTTTCTGTAAGGAGATGAAAGGGATACCCCAGGTGCAGCCCATGTTCAAGAACAGTTGATGTGATAGATTCAGAGGGTTCCACCTTTAGTCGATTCCAAAAATGAGTGTCCATCATATCGCAAAGCAAACCTGTACCAGGTCGCCTACTCACATCCTGCTTTCCACACGCCCCTTTCAAGCGTCCAAGCTTCTGGCAGCCCAGGTATACCGCATCAAGTGGTGGATGGGCCACTACGGAGCTCCCTCGGCCAAACCACAGGTTGGGTGGTGCAACAACCAGAAGTTTGGGCATTTGGATAAGGGTCCTTACCGCCACAAGCTTCAGCCCAAACCGAAGATCCAAACGGTCAAGAAGACAGTCAACAAGACTACAGGGAAGGTGTCCTACTCGGGCACTCGAGATCTCAAAACATCACAGCCCTGACCTTATCCACCTTATCCTGTTTCATGCGCAATGGTTGTTGCAAATTGTCATAACTCGTTCCTCAATATGTCTAAAGCCACCAAGGATCTACCCAGTGGCTTTTGCTGACAAAGTTCGAGAGCTATGCCCTGGGTTAGTCACAGGGGGTGAGGGCATGCCTGAGGTTGCTGAAGTGGACCGAACTTCAATTAGTGCTCCCAGGGCGTTTCAATTGCTTCCTTGGGCCACTTGGCCAGAGGCCAATCTGATCCCAGCACTGAAATACTTACGGGGAAACAAACATTTGCGTGTTCCCCATGACTGGCTGATGGTTTTCCCAAAACCTTTTGAGATTCTCCATAAGTTGGACCAACGCCGACATGCAGAAGTTGGTCATAATTCTGAGGGCTGAGGAGCCCACCACACTTCAGGGCTTGCAGTGCAATGAACACTCCCTGTCCAGGTCAAGATTTACTGAAGTCACCCAAAAGCGGATAGAAATCTTCATAAGGGCATGTTTGAGTGAAATTGTCAGATCCGTACTTGGACGTAAATAACCGTTCTGTGGACGTGAAAAACCGTAAAGCGTTCGGATTACGTTCAAATTACGTTCAAATAACGTTCGATTACGTTCGACTTGCGCAAAAATTACGTAATATTTGCGTAAACAAACTAGACATTTTGGGGCCTTCAAGGGAGTCATCAAGAAAACATCAAAACTTAGCATTGGTGAATCAAAACCATCCAAAACTTATGCATGATGGATGGATTGGGAGTGTTGCACTCTGCCCAGCAAGCTGCCCGCAATTTGAACTGTGGTTTGATCCATGAGTACCTCTGAGGAAAACAACGGACCTACCTGAGCGGCCCATGGGAACATTTTATGCATGGGTAGCCTTGCATGGATCGCATGTGCATACGATGGGTTTTGTGATGTTTTGTGTTTCAGCCATTCGGGGATCTTACAAAGACAGGTAGCTGCAAGGAAGGATGTCACATGACTCTTTGGTAAGCTCTATGCCATCCGCGGGGTGGAGCTGTCGCACGTTAGAGGAAGGCGTTCAAGCTGCAGCTCGAGCTGCTGGCCTTTCCCTGCAAACGATTGACTATGAGAAGGCCAGGGATGGGTTCTTGATCTTACCATGTTTGAAGTGAAAGCGGTTCTTCTTTCCAGCCCTATTGGGACCTCAACACGTGCAGCCACAGCGCATCTTTCTCGTATACAGTTTCACTGAAACACCTTCGCCCGAACCCTGTCCAGATGACTAAGCTGATGGTGGAGGTGATGCAAACAAATCAGGCTCAGGTTTCTTGGACGCATCCAACAGCACCAGAATGAGGAGAGTCATAAGGATCGATATATTGAGTTGAGGGTTGAATGCACCCCTGGGCTGTTGATATTCTGGTGTGACACTGTTCAACATGCATCATTTTTGCATGACATGCTTTCAATCATCTTCTCCAGCCGTGAAATGCTGAGGCTCCTGGCCATGGAAATGTGGTGGTGAAGATGGAGCCACCTGCATCGCCAAAGCATGCGCCGGCTGCAACAGCGGGACTTGTTTCTTGGCAACGTCACGGGTCACAGGAGCTGTAGCTCAAGAGGTCTTGAATGGGTTGGAGTTTTTTGCTCTTCGACCTAACAGCTATCAGGCAGACACGGTGCTGGATGGTGAACTGCCTTCCGGATTTGCATCACCTGGAGCATCAACCATCCCGGGGGCTTCCTGGTGAAAACACATGTGTATATAACTGTATATAGAGGTTTCTTTGCTATATGTATACTATACCGTACCCATGCGGCGTCCGCTCTTAGGAGATGCAATCATCCATTGTGCCCCAAGCTACTCCTACGTATGTTTCGCGTCGACCTCCAGCTTCTTTTGAACACATTACCTTTCAGGCGGCGTGCCGTGTGTTGCAATGTGCACCAATTATGGATCTTTTTGGAGGGTTGGTCACTAACATGCGCACCTCCCATATACAGGACCCGACACAGGCGGCTTTGGTGCAAGCTGAGAAGGAGAAGAACGAGGCTTTGTTGATTAAGATTGCAGCTTTGGAAGCCAAGTGTAAGGAGAGCGAAGAAAAAACAAAGAGAGACCTGAAGGAAGCTGAAGAACTAGAGAGATCTCAAAACAAGATAGCACAGCTTCTGCAATCAACACTTGACCGTGTTTCTGAAATGGAATCCAAAATGAATGGAAAGGCTGAGACGAAACCTTCAGGGCCTACTGTCGAGGAAACCAGGCCCACCGCCCCAGCCCCCCCACCCCGAGAAGAACAACCTTTGACACCTACTGAACAAGAAGCTTCGGATGATGATGATGATGAGTGGGTGACAACACCAAGTGGTAAACGCGTTCCTTAGAAAGCTTTAGACTAAAACTTTCTTTTTGTGATGTATTATAGTTTTACCTCCAGAGTGTTCCCATGGAACAAGTTTAAATACAGTATATCTAAGGTGCACATCACGACGGATGAATTGAGGATGCGGTGTCGAAGGATGTGCGAAAAGAAACCATCAGGTCGAATCAACGTTGATACCAAGATTGTGGAACAGTACAAGGAGGGTGGGGAGTCTAGGGAAGTCCTAGAGATGGCACTTTTGGAGTGCTTGGCCAAGCATGGAGTGGATCGGTCAAGCTACAAGCGCATCAAGGCGAGCCATGCGCTGTTGTTGATTCCTCAAATGTTCCAGTGGTGCTTCACACTTGAATGGAGCACAGTCGACCCATGCGTTCCGTCCACCCACATCGCCTGCGCCGCAAGGCAGACTTTGTGCAAAAGTGCAAGCTGATCAGGGAGCGCCTTGAATCACGCCAGTCTGAGGTGCATGGCCGATGGATGACGGCCGAGGCCATGAAAAAGTCGGGCCTTTGGTCTGCCCAGACAATCAAGCAGATGATCAGCTATTGCCGCAAATTCCCAGAGTCGCTGATAAGGCTAGACCAACCTGGTCGAAAGACTTATGGGACTCAAATGATGGTTTTGGGTTCAACAGTCCCATTCTTGCTCATGCACAACCATCTCAAACCTCAAGTCTTTTTTGGATCTCATATTGCCTCGACTAGAGGACTTGGAAGTATGACGATCGAGTCGAGGAGTATTTCATCATTGTTGAAGACAAAAGGATGCACATGAAGGCAGAGAGCCTACGGGATCTGCAGGAAACTGATCTTGGAGAAACTTGGTTGAGTGCTTCATGCCCACCCAGCCCTGATTATAAATGACAATTGGATGTGTCTTTGCCAAAAATTGAGGCATATTCCGTAATCTCCAAGACCCACATGCAGTCAACACAACCAGTTAACACAGTGGCCTCAACACCTTCGATGGTTAAACTCCCAACCTGCCAACATCTAATCTCGCACCCACTGCGCATTCCTGAGGAGACAGGCTTGGACAAACGCCCTGATGGTCTTCCGGAGGATCTGGTCAATATTCCGGATCCTGTGCCGGCACCGGAGGTGGTAGGATCCCAGGACAGGTTCATTCCTTGAAGGGGTTGTGCATCATCCATGCCCAGTCATGGTTTGTTTGCAGAGTAAATCGAATAGATCAATGGCGATCAATTTGGGTTTGTCATAACAAGATTTGCATGAGTGTCCCTGGCCAGCCTGTCCACGACTTGGAGAATTACATGCAGCAGTTGGAGAAAAAACAACAGGTTGTGGAAAAGATGCTGGGAAAGCTGTCGCAACAATCCCAAGATGTTGCCCACAAGTCTTTTGGTTCAAGAAGGTTTTTATAAATCCTACCACTCCATGCGCCCACCTATGTATGCAAAGATTCGCTCCCAATTCTCTTCCGAGGTTGCATTCTGCCCTGGAGCCCTTGAAGAAGCGCATGGAGGTTAGCTACGAGAGATTTGCTGCCTTCCTTACCGAGCTGAAAATGGACCACAGGGATGGAAAATGTGTCAGCGATCGTTTGACTCAGTTCCTTGGGCAAAGGGATTCAGTGTTCCACAACCTTGCATCACGATGCCCCAAACTGGGTTGTGTTCTGCGCTTTTTGGGTCAACCATGTGATGAGGACAAAGAGTGGCTTGAAAAACCTTTGACTCGATCAGTTGGAACAGAACATGACACCACAACTTGATCCATGTGTTCGACTGATGGTGATGGCACAATAGGTCCATTAATGACTGATGCATGGCACAAATATAGGTCGATCCATTAACATCCCAAACCCACCAGTTAAGATCCTTTATTTTCTGCCCCTTCCCTCGATTCCCACCCACCAAAGCTTCCTGAAGAACATCGAACATACCCAATGGAGAGATGTCCTGGAGGGAGCAGTGACCATCGTCGGACTTGATGGCGTCAATCATCTTCGAAAGCCTTGCGACGCAAGCAACGCTCCACCTGAAGAGTGTACGATTGTTTCATAGCAGCCCCAAAACAAGTTATGTGGGTTTAACCATGTTTGCAACCTTGTGTTGCGCTATGTAGGCATGCTATCCAAGTGCCCAACTACCCAGGCAAATCGCAACACATGATCCATTCTCAAAAAACAAACCTGTGCTCGGGGAAGTTTTAACAAGTAAAGAGAAAAACCCAATTGTTCCAAATTCCTGCTGCATTCATTTGCGGCCAAGGCTTTTGAAGGAGATTGCTGAGCAAAAGAATGAGGTAAGGAACCAGTGACTCGGATCCATCTTGGGTTTTCATGGCAGAAGCTTGAACCTTTGGACCTCGTGTTCCTTTCCCAAAAGCTCCTTACCCTCTCAGGTGCACCGCTTTGATTCCATATGAAGCTCGCTACAGGCCCTACTGTGCGATCCTTTTGATCAAAAACGATTGCATGTGTCAACTTTCGGTCAGCCTGCAGTTGCAGGCAATTGGCCAAAGAACTGAACATCGAGGGAGACAGCCAGGGCAAGAATGGGAAATCCCGCCCCGAGAACAAGTCCCGAAATGGTTCCACGCGGAAGTCAAAGACTCCCAAAGGTTCCAAACCCAAGAAGGGTAAGGGCAAGGGGGGGCGGAAGGAAAAGGCTCCGAGGAAACCCAAAACTGAAACGCCTGCCGAGCAGCTGCCTGCCACTGGATCGCGACCAAAGCGTCCGCGCAAGGTCTGAGCGCCCATGCTGGATTCGATGATGGGCCCCTAAATAGCACCTTCTCGCCTTCAGCTCATTAAGAATTCAGAAATATAACCTTATATATATTGTGTTGTTGTTAACGTTGTTTTGTCCAGCATTTTTGGGCTGAATGGACTATGGGGCATCACATGCCATGTGAAAGCATGGCCCAGTTCCAAGGGATGTCAAAGCTCTAGGGGAGATCGGGCTTGGTCAACCTTTGTGGCCGTGGACTACCACAGCGCACGTCTCAAAAGCTTGGAAAAGTCGGGTGGAACCAGGTTTGAAAGAAATCTTGCTTCGATCAACAAGCATTGGAGTCAAGCTTATCTTCCTTGCTTGAGGGGCAGAAATCCAAAGCTCAGGTCCCACAAACATCTTTCTATATAGGGAGTCTGTTTCAGCAATCACCAGAAAGCCAGGCGCCTCGCATAAAGCGCGACAGCTGGCTTGGAAGTATGGGCGGGGAGCATCTCGGTGCCAAATATGTGTTGAATATTGAATGACTTGATCATTGTAAAGTCTGTGCAAGAAGTGTCCAAAAGTCTAACAAGTCAATGCACGCATGGACTTACATTGAGTTCTTTCTGGGTGCCTGGTACTGGATGATATATTGCATTGTTTTGTTGCACTTTAAGGAGAAGTGCACCGACATCATCGCTTTCGCAGCTGCAGAAATGCGGGACGCGCGGCAAGATTGCATTTCCACGTGTCCAGTCCTTGAAGCTCTTGCATCCGTGGACCCGAAAAAATCAGACTCTGAGTCTTATTTTAGTCTCTTTTGACTCTTGGTGAGCTCCACTTTGTCACCCACCCCTGCACCAATCAATTCCTCGAGAATCCATAAACCAAGGAGGAGGGTGTCAATCAGGTATTCCGCATCAACAACTTTTATTATCCTGTGGAAGTGAGCGTCGAAGAAACTCCACCGCTCACTGGCTTTAGCTGGATAAAACCTAGCAACTTTATACAGACTATGGCGAGAATGAACGACATGGGTCACTTGCTCGGAGGGCACTCTCTTACACAAGCCAAGAGTATGCTTCTGAACTTTTGGTCAAAGTTTAGAGCAATACACCCACAACATCAGTTGTGGGCAGAGGAGAGAGACTTGTCCAAGTGCATCCCCATATTTCTACATGGAGATGAAGGAGTGACATATAAGAAGAACGGAGTTTTGGTGCTGAGCTTTCAAGGAGCTATTGGCTTTGGCTCTCGATCTTCACAACGGGCTCGGGAATTGGAGTCAAATTTACGGGCTATGGGCGAAGGGATACCACTCAACTTCCTTCGCACTGGGTTTCAAACTCGGATGTTGGTATGCGTGTGCCCGAAGGAGCCCTGGGTCCAACATGTTCTGCATGATTGCATTTGTTTTCCCACTTGAAGTTCGGAAGGATGTGTTGGTCGGTTAAGGGAGCTCCCACTGGATAGTGCTGCCCCCTAAGTGCCCGCAGCACCCCCTACAGGACATGTACGTTGATGACAGAAGAGTGTGGAATTCAATCTTTGAGAGGGTCGTCCAAGACCTGGCTTCAGCTCAACGGAATGGTATTTTCCTTGGGCAAAACGACGGGTCAATCTTTCCAATAGTCATTGGGAATAAGGGCGATTGGTCATACCTGGAACCTTGGTTGGGCCAGAAGCGCTTCTTTTTTACTGTGAGTGATATGTATACCTGCTACACTGGATCGACACCTTTTCCTATCCTTCTTGCTAAGTGTTTACTTTACTTTACTTTTTGCCCATTTATCCTGGATCTATTGGTTGGTAGTGGTGATAAGCAACAAGGTATCCAGCGCAAATCTCGAGCGGTCATACCGGCGTGCACCGAAGGGGCCCAAGGATGCTGATCGGGGGGTTGAAGGCGCTGGTATATGTCACCTTTGTACTTGTGGCCAGGGTACAGACTGGGAAGACTTGTAACTCGAATTTGCTTTGAATGATTTTGCAGGGGAAGCCACGTGCAAATCCTTGATAAAACCCCAAAGTCAGATTTGTTGATTTTGTTTGTGACATACTCGGACAATACTATCCCAGGAAGGCAGCCGATGCCGCAATGGACAGAGCTTTTGTTGAACAACTTCCAGTGCCATGGGACATGGAGGGTCCCATGACACGAGAACTACTTGTGGACGGAAGCGTGAATGGCAAAGCAAGATTTCACTGTGTGGACCCTTGGCACGTGCTACATCTTGGGGTTGGAAAATCTTGGGTTGCATCTGGTATCATGATGCTTGAGAGATTGATAACGGAGTCTTCGATGGACAAAAGGATTGAAGTCATTGCTCGAGAGTACCAGGCGTACTGCAAGCTTCACAAACTTGATCCCGTTGTTCGAAAGATCGACCTCAGTACGTTTGGCGGTGGAGGCTCCAATGAGGCAAATGGCAGTTGGAGCAAGGCTGCAGTGACAAGCAACTTCATGTTGTTCTTACAAGACTATTGCGAGCGCAGATCTGCAGAGATAGAACGCGATGAGCGGCTACGAGTTTTTGTTCCGTTGTCGCAGTGCATAAACTGTTTTCATGTTTCTTCACAAGTCAATTACTCACCCCTTTTAAAGTAATTGAGCCTGTTCCACTCAGAGAGTTTTGAACCTTCTTTGGCTGCAGCTTTAGCAGCGTCGTGAGGCTTATGGAACGGAGCGGATCAATTTCTTTATGCGTGGGATCTACAAGAATGAGGTGTTCATGGACAGTTCAACAGCTGCGGAGTTGAGCAAGGCTCTTTATGAGTTTGTGCGTGCATACTTGTTTGAGGCCAGTGCTGCTGCTCAGGAAGGTAAGCCTTTCTTCCCACTGTATCCAAAATTACACTGGCTACATGAGGTAGCCCACGAGCTGAAGAGGCAGTCGAGTGTTGCGGCATTTTGCTTCAACCCCGCAGCGCACAGCTGCAGCTTAGACGAGGACTTCATCGGTCGTACGGCAGCTATCACACGCTGCGTTTCACCGAAGATCATAGTCCGAAGGACTTTGGAACGCTACCTTGCCCACATTCAGATCTCTTGGGCACGCTCGTGAGACTTGAGGAAGGTGGAAAGACTGGGCTTGGAAGAGGAGTGGAATGACTTAGAAGGGATTTTGAGGGTTCAACATGTACTAGATTCCACCATACTTCATGGACGTAAAAAACCGTATGGGGACGTAAATATCCGTGGGACCCTTCACAAGGACGTGAACATCCGATCGTGGACGTAAATTATAGCAAAGCGGCCAAAAAGTAAACAATTAGCAAGAAGGATAGGAAAAGCTGTCTATCCAGGGCAGCAGGTATTAAATATGAAATTTTAGGGTTTAGGGTTTGGGTTTATGCGAAGGAATGAAACCCAGTAGGTAACAAGACGTCAAAGGCAATGCTTGGAACTTTCAAAGTGCAGGCTAAGTCCCGACAGTTTGAGATGACTTGAACTTGTTTCAAAGCTGTTGGTTGGTGGTGACTTGTGGTGAACCCGCACCTTTGCCCATGTCGGTTGCGGAATGCGCTCAGTGTCCTGCACCATGTCCTGAGGTGAAAAGCAAATACCAGTACACCGAACTTGGTAGTATTGATTCTCCGGAAACCGTGTCTCTTGGCAGCGGCAGCTGGAACGGATTTTGGGGATGTTCGATCTTTGCGGCTCCAAAACCCGAGTGACTGAGGGGTCAAACTGAGGGTCGAGCCTTTGAATCGGAGTCGCCCCCATCGGCCTTGGACAAACCCAATCCCAGACACTCCATGGGACTGCCATATATGCCGATCAGTTGGGGCGGTTTTGGGGGTCAATGTAGGCATATATGGCAGTCCCATGGAGTGTCTGGGAATTGATTGCACAAGACGACTGTCGGACGTCATGGCGCGGGGAGTTTCCCCCAACTTGCACCATGAGCATTCCACCCTGGTCACCTGTGGCTGTTTGGACCTTGGGGCCGCTGGTCTCGAGATCGACTTTCCTCCTTCGCTCGGATCCATGATCCTGCCTGGACCGACCGTCAAAGGGGTCTGCCTGCGAGCAGATCCTGGATAGTAGTGGGCTGGGGTGAGGCTTCCGGCCAGGTGACCTGAAAGTGCCTTTCTGTCATCTTCACAACCAACCTTGGCACACCTTCACTCTTTGGCACTGTATGTGGCACTCCGTAGCCGCCCACAGGCGACTCCGCCCATCCGCGATCGCGACACCCAGCTCCGGTCTGGCCCGAGGTACGAGTTGGGCGATGAGTACGTGGAACTCAAGGGCGACCTTTTGCATGACGTGCTGGGCGGATACGTCACGCCGGTGCGCCGCGGGACGATGAGACATTTGGGAAGGGGTCACCGAAGCTGTGGAAGAAGCAGAAGAAGCGGCGAGGATGTGGGGGTGAGGACACATTTGCCTATAAATTCTATAGTGACTAGTACGGTGGTGTTTAGATGTCTTGAGAGGACGTAATTACCATGTTTGGTGGGGGTATCAAGATTGGATGGTTGATGTGAATGTCGAAGGTGGGTTCCACCGGCTCCAGGAGGGACCCAGGGGTGATCAGTGATCAGCAAGATGAACGCTTCGTGATCCACTATGAATCCTTTTTCCTTTTCGTTGACAGGAGATGGAGAAGCTCTTGGCTGAGGCACCCGTGGGTCGTGGCTGTGGAGTCAATGTCCTACTGTCTGGAGTCCGGTGCTTCTAAGATGCGATCATGGGCGCTAATCCATGTGGGCCAAGGATACGACCGCCCCAATCATGGCCCCCTCTCCCATGGCCCAGCCCAACTGCCCTTTTACTTTCCACCAGACAGAGGATGGCAAGGTCAGTCTCAGGAGGTTTTGGACTCTTCCAAAGGCGTCATGTCAGGCACCCAAAGCCGTGAGTTTGCTGACGATCCAACGTGTTGTTGCCGCCTTTTTTGGAGTGGAGAAAGAGGCCAGGCTTTGACAGCATCTCCCCATGTCCATCCATGTCCCCAATCATGCCAACTTGGTTTCCACATCACACCTTCAGGGGCTGAGCAAGGTGCTACGCTACATGGTGCCTTGATGGTTTTGTAGCTTCAGATGACGAGAGAACACATACATCGACAGGTCAGATAAGGTCGGTATCCAGCGTTTTTTAGATGTATACTTGTGGATTGGAAGATTCAACAAAACCTTTTTTGTTGACTTTGAGAGTCCTGTGTTTCTCTCTCCAAGCACCGTTTACGTTTGATTTGGATGCGAGTAAGAAACGCGACATTTGCTGATTTTGCTTATCCAAGACATTCCTAGACCTTCCCAGTGACCTTTTGCGGTCCCTAGGGGGGACCTTTCACAGGCCTAAGTGACCTCAAACCAGGGGATTAACAGGTCATTTATCGTCATTTGGAACAAGATCCAGGATCATCAGTTTTATAATGGTGCGACTTCTTCAAACCCCGGACCCCTCCAGTGTGTTTGGCCCAGTGTGTCTGAACACCGTTCAGGTGAAGGCCATGCGCCTGTTGGACGGCTTGGTGAATCGAAAGACCGGCGAGGTGGAATTCATCGAGGCCAGGACCGGTCCATGGCGCGGGACCCGGCGTCGGGCTGGGCACGGAGCGTCGACGGGTGGAACCCCAAAAACGCTTCTGCTGAAGCGGCCGTAGGTCCGAGAGCGACGGAGGGAGGGAGAGAGATCCAGTTGGGTGACGGTCTGTGTATATAGACTCGGATCTGAATGTGAAGAATTTGTTCATGTCGTGATGTATGTGTCGATGTGTTGTGTTTTGTTAGATCTTGGAAACCGGTAAGGGATCTTGAGGCTACTTCTGGCGCGCCCCAGAGACACCATCTCTTAGCAGCTATGAAAAAGTCTTTCTCGCATGGCAGGTAGACATTCATTCTGTAGACCGTTCTGTTTTTCTGGGGGGGCAGCGGCGGGGGTGTTCTTTTAGGGGCTGGGACGGGAGATGTGCGAGATTGTGAGATGATCCACACTTGATATGCATCCCCCACCTGTAGCCCCCAAAAATACATCAAAATCGCCAAATACCCAAGGTCTTTCTTCACACCCTAAGGATCCGGGCCCGTTCCGCAACACTTTCACACAGCATCACACAGCGTTTGGGAATGCAGGTCCCTCAAAGCCCCCTGCCGTGAACTCCGTGAACTCTGGGTGGGGGGATTGGGGCCGTCGGTCGCGCGCGCTTCCGCGCTGATCCACACCGTTTCAGGACGACCCTAAGCAGATTGAGATGATCAAAACGGTCGCCTCCGTCTCCCAGGACGACCGTCTTTGGTCGCTTTCCGGTCCCACGAATCGGTCCGGTGGGGATCGCGGGAGCGATCGGCTAGGTCTCCGGTGGATCGGTGTGGAAGTTTGGAGACCAATCAGACCAAGCAGTTTCAAAGACCCCGACCCAGGTCATACCACGACGTTTGTAGGGAAATACATATTCTGTGAGGGTGCCATTGGACCCAGGTCATACTTTCATTATCTCAGTCCCTATATCAGGCCCGGACTTTTCGTGTTCAGGTTCGGACTTCTCCTAAGACCGAGACCGAGGCGAGAGCTTCTTGTTTTGCGACCAAAACCGTGGGTGAGGCAAGCCAAGCCATCGATGGCTGGAGTACGTTGCTCAAGCAGCCCACCACGCATGGCATGTGAAAGCACGATCTGGATCGTAAACAAAGGGTGCAAACAAAGAACTTGCACAGCTATAGCGGCCAGAAGAAGCGTTCAGGGTCGCCTCCAAGTCGCCAAAGGCCTATACAACCTTTGCATCTCTTGGTGGCTACCCTTGGTCGATGCCGGCCTAGCCGGCTCGGATGGCGTTCCTCCCGTGCCAATTCGGATAAAGTATGCGTAGCAGAGATGCTCATTGGCATGATGTCATCAGGATACACAATGGAAGCAACATGAAGCAACGTAGTTACTGATCCAACATTGGAACATGTCACTCCCCTTGGGTCAGAAGAGGTGCAGAGCCTTGATTTCTCAACGACCATGTACCTATGAACTTAGCGATTTACTATAAAAGATAACATATTTAATATTATTTAATATACACATTCACCACTGAAACCAGAGTGACTCTTTGCAAGCGAGAGATCCTTGGTTGAGCTGTCATCATCCACACCTCCGATTGGATTCCGAGGTATGACTGGACCCTCTAAACTCACCTCAGTCCCACCTTCTTAGAAGGTGCGACTGGAGCCCTAGGGTTCAGGAGGTTGGTTCCGATCTTTGTATCGTTGAAGCACCTCACCGGTGAGTGGTGCACGTGCCATCGCCGCCAGGAGCATGACCAACTGAAGCTCTCGGCGGAGGAGTGACGGATGCTCCGCCTTCCGCACCTCGTGGTGACGCGACCGCCTCGGCCCCGAAGCAACTCCATGGCAAGCCCAGCAACTTCCTAAGTACACTATGACCCCCCCCAAAAAAAGACAGAACGGGTGCTCCTGGGAGATGTTTTTCATGCAAAAAATGATGCAAAAACACTGTGTTTTACAGTGATTTCTTGCAAAATCCTCTCCAAAATTGAGGTTTTGAGCTATTTGTTGATCAATTTTGTGAGATCCAAGCCTATCCCAATTTAGAGGGAATACAAAAAAAACACACACAAAAAAAAAAACAATGTTTGAGACAAAATGGGGTCACTATTGTTTTTTGGATGTTGGCTGCATTTTGTGTCGAACATTGTTTTTTTTTTGTATTCCCTCTAAATTGGGATAGGCTTGGATCTCACAAAATTGATCAACAAATAGCTCAAAACCTCAATTTTGGAGAGGATGTTGCAAGAAATCACTGTAAAACACAGTGTTTTTGATTCATTTAAGTTTAACGGTGGAATTTGATTTTAAATTGGATTTCAATTAATTTTGGTATTAGACTTCAATTAAAACGCTTTCAGAATTATTGGTGGAAGTTGATTTCTCATTAGCTTTCTATAAAAAAATGTGTGTAAGATTAATTGTTGTTTTTTATAAACTAAGTTTCATTTATATCATTTTCAACATCATTGGGGAAATTGATTTTTATATTAGATTTCAATTAACATTTCTTCAATATTAATTATAGAAAAATGAATGTGTAATTCAACTTCGATTAAATTCCTTTTCAAGATCATTGTGGCAATTGATTTTGAATTAGATTTCAATTTCAATCCTATTTTCTTTCATTGTAGAAATTAGTCATTACTTAAATGTCAATTAAAGTCCTTTTCACAATCATTGTGGAAATTGCTTGTTGTTTAGATTTTAGTTTAATTTCTTTTCAACATAATTTGATTGAATTGCTTGTGTATTGGATATCAATCAAGACCCTTTTAGAATTGATTGTGGAAATTAATTTTGAGTTAACAGATAATGGTGGAAATCAATTCTTATAATTAGATGTTAGTTAAGGTCCTTTTATTTGATGTTGCCTTGTAGTGGGGAGCAAGCAGATACAAAATCAATTCAAGTTAGTTAAGCATCACAATTTCCACAATTAATCTTAAATCGATTTTAAACACGATCTGATATTAAATCAAAGCCACCACTAACTTTGAACAGGACTTTAACTAAAATCTAATTGTAAGGACTAGTTTCCACAACGAGTTTTAAAGAGAACTTGGAAAGGATTTTTATTGCAATCTAATATCCAATAAATAGCAATTTCCACAATCAATGTTAAAAGGATCTTGATTGAAATCTTCTAATTTAAGTTTACCTAATTCTATGTTAATTCTAGTTTAGTTAGTTTAAGAAGAAACATGTTACAAAACCCTATATGTTACAGTGTTTTTTTGGTCTAGGAGTGCTGGGAATAAGACAAAAACTATGTTTTTGAATAGATAGTATTTGTTTAAAGTAATCCGTTGGAATAATCATAGCTATATTAAAACTGCTTTATGTACAAGCTTCCAATTCAAAAGGTTCCCTCTAGATCTGTTCACTTCTGTGAAAAAATATAAAGCTTTCATTTCAAAAGCTTTCCTCTGGATCTCTGGAAATAGTCATGGTATTTTTTAAAAGCTATAAGTATGTATGTAAGTGTTTCTTTCAAAAGCTTTCCTTCAATGAACATACAAAAATCTAGGAAATCTACTTTCCCAGAGATCCAGAGGGAAGCTATTGAATCTAGAGATGTATAGTATTATATCTTCATTCGCTCATGATGCTACATTCATTGTGGGCAGAGAGAGATTTACCTGATATTATTTATCATTGGTGTTGCACATTGATAGTGGGCAGACGAAGAGCTGTTATTTGTTGTCATTGACATTGGACATGGAGACTGGGCACAGACAGATCAACAAAAATGCGTTTCGCCTAGTTCTCAGAGCAGTTTTTGAAATTTTGCATGGTATTTACAGTGTTTTCTAAGGGTTTTGAGCTAGTGTGTGCTCTCCCAAGCACACCCACAAAAAAAACAGGTCATATCAGATCCATTGTACAATCTTTGGTACCCTATAATGATCGGGTCGACTCCAGCCGGACTTGCGGGTCACCCCCTTTCGTCTCGTTCGAGACGGAGGAGGAAGTGAGTCGATTGGAGCAACAGCAGCAGCGCTGCGAGCGGAAGCTGAAGAAAGCCAAGGAGGCGTGCACGCGCGGTGCAGATGTTGACCGGAAACCTCCCCAAAACATGTGACCAATCCAAGGGTGATGGCTTTCTCTTGAACCAACAATATGAGCAACACCAAAAAACATATACTATTTTTGGTTGTAATTATGTTGAATATTGTTGAATCTTTGTTAGTTTTTTTCTTATGGCCATCTCTTGAAGTTTTCCCAAGTGATTGTTCCGTGCGATCGGAGTTCCAGAGTATGGTCATCGGCTAGCCCGCAAGGACATGCGGACCAAAACGAAGGTCCGTATGGGGAGGGCCATGTGTCTATACTGCCAGAAGTTATGGCACGGGACTCCAGTGCCACAAGATTGGTCAAAACCAGGCACTGTGGGAATTTGGAGATGAATGACCCTGAGAAGCACATTGATTCTTTGGTCGTGTTGAGATGCACAGCTATCGGACCGAAATGTTGAACTGTTGCACCTGCCTCTACAGCTCGTGACTAGTTGAGGTCCCTGTGAACATCGGCAGGGGCATGATTTTTTGAACAGGTTTCCCGTTTTCATTGAGGTGTTGTCCCTCAAGCCACTACATCCAGAACAGGCAAATATGATCAGCATATTATAGTTTTTTGTGCTGCAACTGCAACAGTCAGCCACTTGGCTCCAAGTTTTTGCATATACGGTTTGTACTCCAAGGGTTCAGCAGCATTTCTGTGTTGTTTTTTGTTCAACCGTTTGGGGTGGTGTTGTTTCTTGGGAGCTTTGTGATCGCTGTGTCTTCATCTCTGGTGCCTTTTGTTTAAGAATACTGGGGCCCTTGGCAGGGGTCGGACCCTTCATAGAAGGGTCCGGACCATGAAAAAGCCCTTTCTATTTGAGCATGGATCATCGGAGTTTGGGTGTCCAGGCTGGTAGCATCAGCCTATATATATAGTCTATAGCCATCTTCACCCGGAAAAGATGATCCAGGTAGCCACTTTGACCTTCACATCATGTCATCCGATGTGGTCATGTCATACGGGTCGCCGAAAAACATGCGGAACAAGGCGGGTGATGTGATGACCCCATCTTGGGAGTGCATGAAATACTGGAATTCTCCAAGTTATCCAAACGTCCGGCTCCAAATCAGACTGACAGATCTATCCACCCATTCCATCCCAGAAATGTTCGGTGATTCCAATTATTCCACGCCTCTCCGGACCAACCATCCTATGCTTGAAAAATACCATGAAAAAGCCATGCGCAATGCATTCCATGCATCACGTGTTCCCAGGAGATGGAACTGGCGCGAAAGGGCCAAGGCAGCTCCTTCTTCAGCTCCTCGGTCGATCAGTGCAGTGGGGCCTGTGGTCCTTTTCTCTTCGTTGACGGGGAACGCAGTGCTGGATGTGGGTAGCATGAACGCCAAGAGCTGGACATCTTTGGAATGGACCCGTTGGTCATCCCAAGACCACCGGACAACAACAGGTTGAATGTTTTGTCAGGTGTTCTCCTTCTTCATTCAGCCAACTCCTTTCTTCCAGGGCGTTCAACGTGCAGAAGGCAATAAGAATTGATTAACCTTCGACTTCACAAGATGGATTTCAGAGATTTCAGAGACAGGGAGAGAGACGAGCTGTATATAGCTGGATATTCATTATACTGAAAAGACGACAGACTAGATTTAGATATGCACGTGAGTCAATGGACAAATTATATTGATATATAGATCTCAAGATTCGAAGATGGTTTCCTTCTTCCACAGAATACAGACAAATGCCAATGCTATGAATTTTGTGTTTGTGTTGTCTATCATAGCCGTCCATTCGGACAAAAAACAAAAGCTGGCATCCAGTGGTTCCTCCTCAGTCCTCCACAGGAGGGTCAACAGATGCACCAAGAGCTGCAATCCAAGAGGCCGTCAATCCTGGTTCACCCCAAAGCCGCTGACCGACCCTAGCCTTCCTAGCCTTCAGAAGCAAAAACGACCTTGGAGGGGTCAACAAGTGCTGCTGCATCCTCCTTCAACCAGTTCAAGGCATGCCCAATGGATCCCAGATACCACTGTATGTAGGAAACCAGGCTTTCGTTCGGTCTACGGCTTAATTTTAGGGGTCAATGTATGTAAATATGCCATACATGGAGTGTCATGAGTATAATTACCAACATAAGTGCTTTGCCTGGATCCACATTCACCCAAGAACTGTGGATCCGTCCCCTGTGGATTCGCCCAGGCTATGACCCGAAGAGGATCCAAAAGCTGGAACAGCACGTGTGGCTCGTTGGATCACGGATGCGACTGTTTGGACGGTTGCGAGGGAAGTGGCGGGAGTGGTCAGTGGTTCAAGCAAGAATTTGGGATACGAAGAGAGGGTTTGCTTGGGAAGTAGATCTGGAAAGACTAAAAACCATGAGAACTTCGTATAGATCAGAGCTGCTGACTTTGAAGCTGACCAAGACATGTTTATTATCTCATACCTTGCAATAGATCGTCATGCTGACGGGTATATATTCATCGTCATGCTGACCGATGCCTCGCTCCGATTGACTCCCTCGTTTTCATCCACAAGCCTTTGACAGACACGACTACCATCAGAACCTAGAACCTAACTATTGTTCGGTTCTCAAATGAGA